CCATGCGTTGAATGTGTGTTTGAAAAATAGAAATCATTTCTGAAGTTATTTGTATATTATGTGCGAAAATCTGTTTAAATTTATTCAACAGATATGGTGCAGTTATTTGCACCTCTTTCGTTGAGTTTTTCAAACAATTAATAAATTCTTTAATTTTCATGACATTTACTCCAATTTTACTGGATATTTGGTTTCTAAATAATTTATAAAATATTTTTATTTTTATTTATTTATTTAATCATATTTGTATACTGGAGTTCCATAGTGTCGTTTCCTATACACAAACACTGGACTTTCATTAATACAATACACTATGAATAGTCCAGTGTATGAGTATAGGAAACGACACTATGGAACTATAGAATACATTTAGGTTTTAAATTCAAATCAAATACATGAAATCTGTTTTTATGTTTATTACCACTATAGAGTACTAAACCGTCATATTTAAACAGAGTTCTGTAGATTTTTTGAATCTTGGTTTCTGAATTATTTTTATATTTATATTACTATACTAGAGAACAATACTTACTTTTCAAAAATTGTTTCCAGTAAATTCAATGCAATTAATGCAATATAATGCACATCAAAATAGTCAAGAAATCTTTTTGTATAATCACTTTCAATGATAATAGTATAAAACTCTATTGATAACATTATACGAATGACGTTTCCGTTGCCAATATTATTAGAAATTAATATATTTTTTAGATTAAATTTCCAGTTATACATCATTTTGTTGGTTGATTCGTGTAAATAGTGAACGCATTCTAAGAGCTCTCGCAGTAATTCATACGATATGTAGAAATCAATGCAAATCATGTCAACAGAAGTTTCATTTTTGAAGATTTCATTTTTCTTGATAATTAAATCCCGCAGTGTTTGTGAACACAATTCCGTTTGAATAAATATGTGATTATTCTCTATCCATGCATTATAACATTCAATCATATGATTGGACTTTAAATCAAACGACATTTTTATTTTAAGCAGTAAATATCTCATATTTTCAACGTTTTCTAGCGTTTAAAAATAAAATTATTTAATAATTATAAGTAATTTTTAATTATAATTGTTTTATCTTATTTACTAATTGTTAGCGTACCTGGAATTCTCAATATAAATAATGAATATAATTGTTTTATATTCATATAAGATTCTTCTGAACCAAAAACATATTTGTCACCATGATGATCTAAATAGTAACAAATAATAAATTATTTTTAATGTACGATCATAAAATCTGATAGTTTAAAAATAACCTATATCAGATTTCTATAATATCCTATAACATTTTAGTATTTACTGGCCATAACTATTTAGAAATTATTTGATTTTAGTAAGGTATATTAATGAAACTCACAATTGAACATGTGTTCATGTAGTATCCGAATAACACAAAATTGTTTACCCTGGATAAATAATTGATATATGTATTCACATTGGCTTTCGATAATAGCCTCAATTAATTTCCATTCTTTTTCCTTGACTATCGGTTTACTCATAATTTGCTTAAATTGTGTTAAAATATCTAAACATTCAGTTCTTTCAATCCAATCGTCTGGTGAATACAAACTCAAATGCATTGAAACCAATTGTTGTGGTGTTAGTATTGTTTTAATTTTACTCTCGTGTTTAACTTTTGACATTTTCAATGCACTTGATTTGACTAATTTTTGAGGCGATGGATGGGAAGCTTTGGTGATAACCAAGTCATTCATATTTTTATTAATAATCTTAAGTTCTGACCGATTTAAGCTATTTGACAAAAATATGTTTGAGCTTGAACGATTATTACAGACTGGAGTTACAATATGCGTCAAATCCTGTGAACTAGACGATTGGTTTAAATCTGATTTGTTTGTCATGATTATTGACTTAGTTTTGCATAAAAGGTATTCAACGAAGAAATTGTAGTCATATTCGTGTGAATCCATGGATTGAATGTGTATTTGAAACGTGGAAATCATTTCATCGGTTATACGGATATTATGGGCGAAAATGTATTTAAATTCAATGAACATATTGTTTATAGTCCTTTCATTTGAATCTTTCGTATTATTCAGACTATTTATAAATTTTTTGATTTTCTTGATGTCAATTCCCAGATAATGTGGAATATTATTCCTAAATTAAATAAAATTTTTATACCTTATTCCCGCGCAATCACCGTTATGCCGTTATAAGTGAGGCTGATCATTTTTACAAAAATGGATTTATGATACCCTAACGGCATGCCGATATAAACTGAGGCACATATTTATGAATTGTCATGCATAAGGTTGAACAAAGCAATACTGGTATTAATTTTTCTTATATTAACATCTTTTCCTAGCATTAACCTGCGTATACAACAAAAATAAATAGTAAAACGTCAATATTAATAAAATATTTGATTTCAATTTATTTTTAAAGCATTTATATAACAAAATATTAATAATTTTTAAAATATCAAAAACATATTTTAGACCTCATTTATTACGGCAGTCTCATCAACCTCACTTTACACCGGCATGCCGGTGGTTGCGCGGGAATACGGTAACTAGTTTTGTTATAAAAAATATACATTTGACTTACATTTTTAAAATTGACCCAAATAAATCACTCATGATATGCTCGATATAATAATAACAATTATTATTGTCAAGGTTATTTGAAATAGGTTTTAATAACTCATAACAGAACATATTAATAATTATTATTCTGTCGTTACTTATATTATTTGCAATTAATATATTTTTGGGATTTAGTCTCCAATTATATATATCCTTATCGACTGATTCGTGCAAATATTGAACGCATTGTAAGAGTTCTCGCATTAATTCACACGATATGTAGTAATCAATACAAATCAAAGGCAATGAAGTTTGCTTTAAAAAGATATAATTTTTCCTATCAATTAAATCCCATAGTGTTTGTGAACACAATTCCGTTTGAATGAATATATGATTATTTTCTATCCATGTGTTGTAACATTCAGCCAAATACTTTCTGTTAAATATCTCTCTTATTGTATCCAAAAATTCTTGCAAACCAATGTAAGTTTCTATAAATTTATATAAGTTAAATTTTATATATAAATATATTTTACATATTTACATATAATATTATATTTTTATACAATATATTTTACAGTATATAATCACGTTAAATTTTAAAAATAAACATTTAATATTAATATCTTTATAAACAAAATAAAGTATAATATATTATATAAGATATTGTATAGACATAATGTTATAAAATAATATAAACTTATATTTTACTATAACATATATTACAATATCTTAGACAGTATTTTGTTTATAAAGTCATCAATATTAAGTGTTTATTTTTTAAAATTTAATGTGGTTAAAAAACTAAAAGTTTTGTTTTTAAAATTTTAACCTGGAATTTGAAATTTAAATAATGAAAAGTGAAGTCCCGTTGTAATTTCTCTTATTATATTTAATGAGTTATTATATATTTGTGCAACCATATTTTCATTATCATACATATGTTCCCTTGTAACAATATCAATTTCTGCATATATGTTATAATTTAATATTAACTTCTATTAAAAATTAATAAAATATTCTTACCGTTAGTATCATTTTTATAATTTGTTACAAAGGTGCAAAAAGGTAGGCTTCTTATAAATATATTATAGAAAATATTCTTATATTCCTTTGGGAATAAACAGTATATGACGGCTTCTATCTTTACCCGGAATAACTTGAATAGCATTTGAACGGATTATCCGATCTTTAATCGGTTTTCACCAAAATGTAGCTGGATAATGTCGAAATCTAGGGATATGCCATTTGTTATATAAATTTACCAGGACAACTGAGTAATTTAATTTCAAAGTTAAATGTCATTTTGCTATTGAAAATACATGGGGTTTTTGGTGAATGTTTCATAATTTTCTCTAATCTTAATTAATATTAAAACATCAATATTTTGGTCATTTTTAGTGCTATTTTAGATATTCCAACAGAATTTTTTTTCAAATTAAAATGCGATATTTATGACATTTTGACTTTTAAATTTGAATAAAAATGTATATCTAACATTTTAATGATAAGTCCTAGAATAAATCTGAAAAGTGCATTAGAAAGAGCTCAAAAAACTACCCAAGATTGGTTAATAAATTCAAGATAATTAAACATTTCAATAATTTAATTTTATTAATTTACATTAAACAATGGTTTTGAATTTTATTTATATTTTTACTTTAATACAAATAGTTAATAGTTAATTACATGTGAATGTTAATAATTGCTCTTGACTAGTTTTTTAGCTCTTTCTAATGCACTTTTCAGATTTATTCTAGGACTTACCATTAAAATGTTAGATATACATTTTTATTCAAATTTAAAAGTCAAAATGTCATAAATATTGCATTTTAATTTGAAAAAAAATTCTGTTGGAATATCTAAAATAGCACTAAAAATGACCAAAATATTGATGTTTTAATATTAATTGAGATTAGAGAAAATTATGAAACATTCACCAAAAACCCCATGTATTTTCAATGGCAAAATGACATTTAACTTTGAAATTAAATTACTCAGTTGTCCTGGTAAATTTATATAACAAATGGCATATCCCTAGATTTCGACATTATCCAGCTACATTTTGATGAAAACCGATTACGGATCGGATTATCCATTCAAATGCTATTTAAGTTATTCCGGGTAAAGATAGAAGCCGTCATATACTGTATCTAATATTGATGAATCGTGAATATTTGGATTAAATATAAAATCACACAATTTCCATTCATTTTCATCTATAATAGGTTTAATTATTGTTGTCTGCAATTGCGATAAAATGTGCGAACATTCGGGTCTTTGCCTCCAATCTGTTGACGAATTTTTGCGATTCTTATTGACAGTCATTGACACCAATAATGCATTCATTTTAAAACTAAAGTCATTCAAACTATTTTCAAATTTTCCAATTGTATCAATTCTATAACAATTAAAATTATTAACTTTATTAAAATAAATTTGTTACTATAGTTCTCTATAAACATACTTTCCTTCGATTATATCGTATGTATCGAAACCAAATATTTGAGCCCCAATTAGGGACAGACTATAAATATCTATTAAATGATTGTAATTACTAGTCTCGGCTTCTGGTGCCATATATTCAACTGTTCCCACATCTGCTTCCATAGAATTTTCATAACCACTAAACATCTCTTTAGCCAAACCAAAGTCACCCAACTTTATGTGTCCGTCCATTGAAATCAACACATTATCAGGTTTGAGGTCTCTGTGAATGATCTGTGGATCCGATTCATGCAAATACTGCACACATTTTGTGAGTTCGTGGAATATTTCATAAGATATATAATAATCAAAATTAACTGTCAATTCATTAAACAATGATTTCATAATTTTCAAAACATTTTTGAGATTATCTAAACACAACTCCATTTGAAAATAAAGACAATTGCTTTCAATCCATGAATAGTAGTATTGAATCACAAACTTTGACCGAAGTTTTATCAGACTCTGTGTTTCATTCAAAACATTTAGTTTCTCTCTTTCTGTTAAACCTTAAAATTTTATAAGAAATTTATTAGATATAATTTATATAAATTGTACATTAAAAATAATTATAAAAATAAGATATTCATTAAAAATTACCTTGTAAATTGCATTCCTTTATAGCATATACATCATTATCATATTTATTTTCAACTTTATATACTTTCCCAAAAGCACCTTCACCAATTATACATATATTCTTAAATGTTTTTAGAAAATCCAAATTTTGCTTCTGTGTGCAATCAATATTATCTATAAAATATAATTTTATAAGAAAACTATATATTTAAATTAAAATAAACTCGAATCATTAATTAATAAGTTAATTACATTATTATCTACGAAAAATATATTTTTAAAAATTTGTAAGTAAAATAATTAAGTTATATTCAGTAGATGCTGTGTAATTTACATCGTCAAATGTTAACCTAAATTATTTATAAATTAATAAAATGCTCACTATTATCCTTGTTAAGTTCTGATGTCATTGTATTGAAAGTCATTTGCAACTCATGGCAATAGTAGTCATCAAACGTTGTATAAATTGTCTCTGTCATTTGTGTATTATTAATTATGTTTATTTTGTTATTTGATTGTCCAACTACTATTATTTTGTTCTCTGAATATATGTATTCTTGATTTAATCCAATGAAAATAATATGGCTTAATAGTTTCGTACATTTTTCTGTATAATTATATAAATATAATACACCATCATTTGATAGAAAATAATATTTGTCAATATTATCGAAACAAATATTTTGTATATTTATTATATTTTCCAATAGTTTTGGTTTATTTATTAAATCATTACTATGTTTCCCCCAAACAAATACCTGTCCCTTCGATGTAATAGCAAATGATGCCAATTCATTGCATATTATTTTATTTATTATTAACTCATTTGGAAATATTATTTCAGTCGGATATTGTATAATATCAATGCCTGTTGAATCACAACCTACCTGTCCAAATATATTACAACCCCAACTAAGTACATGTCTGTTGTTTGTTTGAGCAAGTATGTGGTAATTTCCACAACTTATTTGGGTTATTAAATCATTTGATGTGAAAAATAAAACATAATTTGGTTTATGATATCCCTGTGCATTCACATCCCGTCCCAATTGTCCCCATATATTGCGACCAAAACTAAATATTTGTATATCACTATTTAAAGCCAACACAAAATCTTCTCCATTAAAAAATTGTTGAATATTTTTGTGGCATATTTCCATCACGTGTTGTGGTGTATGAATGGGTGTGTTGTGTCCTAACCCGAGCTGACCCTCACTATTGGTTCCCAAAGCGTACACCAAATCATCGAATGTCACAAACAGTATGTTATGTCCCATAGAGTCGTCGAAAACGTAAAACAATTTC